CACCTGCACTCAGAGGCATAGCCCACACATATACATGCCATTCAAAATAAAATTAATCTTCAAAATAAAGTAATATATATTCCCTGTGTGCTCCAATCCCTTAATTTCAAAGAATGGATAATAATACTTAACTCTTTACATATTAAATAACAGGTATATAAAGAACTCCTTGGTATGGTATGTGACACACCCCTGCCCCAACACTCAGAAAAACGAACGGCTTTGCTTGGCATTGTTACATCTTGGATATGATAAGGGGAATGCTGACAGTGAGCCTTGTGTAGGACAATGAACATGGTAGTCTATCCTGTGGAATTGCCTGGGAGATAGATAATTATGTCTTCAGCTACTAATGGGTTCCTTGATACCAAGCAAGCATTTCTAAAGGAGTGTGTTTGTCCCATAAACACTCCTGGGACATAAACTCACTGTAGTCACCTGACAGTGACTTAAGGAGACAAATAAGCCCCAGCCCTCCTTGTACTTAGTCTAAGTTAAAGATGAGCATGCAGTCTCAGCTAGCGTATCATCCAAAGGGGTGTTGTCCCAAAAAGTTGAAGAGCTGAGGAAGTTCAAAAAATACACCTTTTCTAGGCAGAGATCATCAAAGGCAGACCCTTCTCCCCTCTTTCTGCAGGCAAATTTGTTCCTCCTCCAGGACCCCATTGCCACAGATGGGTACCACAGTGTGCTCATTGTCCTAGCTGAGGACTTAGGAGAGATGATATCTGGTCTTCTTTTCCTGATTTTCTGTCACCAAGTGGCCACGAAGCTCCTTGCTTCTACCTTCCTCATAGCCTTCCCTGAAATTCTTCATCCATCTAACTGCTCGGAGTACCCAGACCCTTTGTTTCAACATCTGCTTTAGGTCATGTGAGAACACAGTTTGCACAACCCAACACCAGAGTTTCACCTAATTCATCAGCACCTGCTGCCGCCGCCACCAATGCCACCCCCCATATTCCTAGCCCAGCTTCCCATCCAGTCCCTCTGTGCTGGGCCGGATCTCCAGCTTCATCCCCGCTAGTCAAGGGCTCTACCAGGGAGCTTCCTGGCCTCAGACTCTAATCTTCATTCTTCTTCACGTTTTCTACCCTTATCTCAGAAACAAAGTAAATTAAAGCAAATCTTTTCTGACATCAAATCCCCACAGAGTTAGTGTCGGGATCCCTCCAATGGTCTGCTGTGCTTTCCATCATCTGGCTCTATCGTTCTCCAGGTCACCTACCTCCTTGTTCATCCTACACTGGTTGTTCTAAAATCCTTCCTGATGCTATGGTAAAAGGCTTTGACCAAAAGCAACTCAGGGAGGGAAAGGCTTATTTGACTTACACATCCAGGTCAAGGTTCATCATTAAGGAAAGTCAGGGTAGGCGCTTGAAACAAACCTGGAGGATCACAACACTGGGTCACTCACCAGCAGGCTCACAGGCTTATGATTGGCTGGCTTTCCTATATACTTCGGGACCACCTATGGATGATGGTGCTGCTTCAATTCAGTTAGTAATCAAGGTGCTCTTCCACACATGTGCTAAATATGACCTAGGCAGTTCCTCTCAGAGGGCTCCAGGCTATATCAAATTGACAGTTCAGTCTGATGACGAGATCCACATGCTGGTGCAGAGAATTCTCACAGCTTCTTAGACCCGGACCATTTGTGTTTGTTTCTTACATTTGCTTCGCACCACATCCTCAATGAGCCCCTTTCAGTATCAATACATCCACACCACAGAGGCTGGGCATGTCATCTGTGTGCCTGCCATCCGTGGTCGATCGTTGGATCTAGCCTTCCCTCTGGTCTGGCTCACCTCCAACACTCTGAACTTCTTGAGAAAGAAGACCCAATAATTTTTCTTTGTATATACCAAGTGGTGTATCACCCGAGATTGCGTTGGAGATCATGGATGTTAAGAAAAGTGGGATCCAGAAAGCTGGAAGAGGGAGAGATTTTAGCTGGAAAGAATGGAGGGAGGACTGGGGGATTTGAAATGCTGGGGAAAAGCCAAATATTCCAGAAGAGGGAAGCTTGTTCCTAAGCTTCATCCTGGTCAGGCTTTGGTATAGATGTTGGTATGAGAAAGGAATAGGGAGGGGTCCGGTCTGATGGGATACAGAGAGTACTGTCACCTGAGCCAGAAGGTCCCGGGATGCATCACGGTGGATTGAGGGGAAACTGGGTGAGACTCGAGTGTGGTTCTGGGTCTGATGGGCCTGGCAGCACCACTGGGACATTCTTTAGTCCCACTGTGCTTGTGTGCTTATCTCCTGTGCAAGAGAGTAGTCAATGACTGGTGAGGGGACACATGCCGTGGAATCAGGAAGAAGCCAGAAGTGGCCCTGTATGAGCCAGGAACAGCAGGGGTGTACTCTTTGGTGACTTTAGGTAGTACCTTTGCAAGTATGATCAAAGCAAAAGAAAAGGTGGACTTCTGATGACAGCGAGAGGATTGGGAATAGGGCAGCAGGAGTTCGGGAAGCCATTGCTTGTCACTAGAAATGGGTCTCGTGTTAGCATTTGTGAACAAGGAGTGTTCATCCTGTGCATATGACCTAAGTGATTTTACTGCTTGGGGAACAGGGACAAAACATGTAGGGGAACAATGTTCTCTGCCCTCATTCTACTAATGTAATAAACACGGGCGTAGGCATCTTGAGTATGCATAAGGATATGTATAGAAAGAGTTCTACACTGTCAATGCTAAACCATTTTTCCTTGAGAAACAGACAGCTTTACGACTATTATGGCACTGTTCTCAAAAGTCTAACCGTTACCTTCTGTCATTAGATGCAACACACTGATATGTGTTTCGAGGGGGTGCTAATATTGAATAGGGGAAAGAGCCAGTGTCTTCCAGTTTGCTTCTTCAATGCTGCCGGGGGCATTCTTATATAACATTTATGTACACAGAGAACTATCTGGATTAAAATAATCTAGAGATAAAAGCATGAATCATCATTATCTTAAATACAACCATAGGTGGGGGCTGGAGAGATGGCTCAGCAGCTAAGAGTACTGGCTGTTCTTCCAAAGGGTTCAATTCCCAGCACCCACATGGCAGCTCACACCAGTCTGTAACTCCAGTTCCAGGGGATCTGACACCTTCACATAGACATACATTTAAGAAAAACACCGATGCATATAAAATAAAGTAAAATCTAACACACACACACACACACACACACACACACACGAGTTCTTTTTTTTTCTAAGCATCCATCCTCTGAGACAAATTAGCAATGCTCATATGCTTATGCCTATAGATGGGCAATCCATCACAACTCAGAATTAACAATGTGCCCAAGCAGGAAGCTTGACTACCAGAAGCAAGGGCATGCAGAGGTGCTTAGAAGGGAAACTGGAGACAAACAGGATCCAATTTCCCTTTACACTCAAGCCCAAAGAACCAGGCCGTTATTCACCATGCTGTCCCCAGAGTCTCCCAACTAACAAAAATTCCAGGTTTAGGAGTGGAGTCGTTTAACTATTATATTTAACTTGGTTTCTCTGATTATTAATTTCTCTAATTATTAAGTAACTTATAATTTCTCCAATTATTATGTTAGCGGGTTTGGTTGTCTGGGTCTATACAGGAGTGTGTGCTTGATGCTCCTTTATAGAATACTAAATTCTTTACATGGAAAATGATCTGCACATGGGGGCAGCCCCTGTGTTAGACCCTGGGGAACAAGATAGCCCAAGAGTGGCTATGTTTGAGAACACCTGAAGGTCTAGAGTCTCAGTTCACTGTTGTCATTGCTACCATGCTTAACATGTGAATGGCCGTTTTTGTTTCTGGTTTTCAACTTCCTTTAGTTCATGGAATCTGAAATACTGCATCTCTGGCATTCATCCACAGTTGCTGTCTTCAAAATGCATTTTTTTAAAAAAAAAAATAACCATGTCCATTTTTCTGGGGCCAACTGGAAATTCTGGAGAAAGAATTCAGGATGTAAGAGAGGCCTAAGAATGCCTGGAATTTCTAATTCATTTCACTAGACATTTTCTGTGTCGTGACATGTCCTAGGAGACCATAAAAGTCAACTTATAATATGAATATAAAATGCGTTTTGCCTTACTGATAACTGCAAATAAATAATTCACATGACTACCCACCAAAAGATTCCAAGACTTCCAGAGGTCCATGAGTTCCCTGTGAAATATATTCCTTATAAATCTATATAATCAAAGAGAAGAATAACAAGGTGTGCTTTATTTTATTTCCATTCTAAATGCTGCAACACTAGCTTGAAATATTTCTGCAATCTCAATAATGTCACAGAAATATAATAAAATGATTAATGCCTTTTCCTGGTGTGACTTTAAACAAGGCAATTAAAAGTATTCCCTGCCCTGCATTTTCAGTACTGCAAATGTTCATTTCTCCGGTGGAAATTACTTAATCTGGGGCAGAGGAGATGACTCAATGGGGAGAAGTACTAACTATCCACAGGTGAGGACTTGAGTTCAAGGGTCCAGACCCTATGTAAAAGCTGTGCATATAGCACCATCACCCGTCAATCTCCAGGGTCCTGGGGCAAAATGGGAGGCAGAGACAGAATTCTTAAAACTCACAGGCCATACACAGATTGGCGTACACAGAGGAAAAATGACCAAGAAATTCTTCCTTAAACAAAGTGGAGAGTAAGGACTCTCTCTCTCTCTTTCTCTCTCTCTCTCTCTCTCTCTCTCTCTCTCTCTCTCTCTCTCTGTCTCGAATGCACACACGCCATTCACGTGCACACTTAAAAAATAATCAATTGCATAGTTTCCCTAGCAATAATCAACTGAATTGGTTACAGCGCTGTCAGTCTATAGAGAAATCTTATTTCTTCATGAAAGAACGTTATGATCAAGCTCACACTTTGCAACAAGTTCAGCTGTTTGGTCCCAGCTGGGAAGAAATAAGCGGGAATGGAAGGAGGAGGCCAGATAACCTTTAGCTTACTGTGGCTTGGGAAGTTAGTCCCTGCACGTGCTAACCCTGTGCTTCTTTTAATAGATGGAACTGATTAAGAATATCAGCACCGCCGAACAGCCCTATTTATTCACGAGACATGTTCACTTCCTCAACTTCTCAAGGTGAGTTGCTCTCCGGCTTTGTGGTCATTTCCTGTCTTCAGAATCTTTATGGTCCATCTAAGGAGCAAGCAACCCCTTAACTGTCCACCTGATTGACAACCCAGAGCCATCGACCTCAAAAGGCAAGGACATGGTCAATTCAGTTAGCTTTGCTACAGAGAAATCAAAGTTTGAAACATTTTTTCCTAGAACACCATCTGAAATAGTATAAGAGCATGGAATTAACTTTGATGAGAAGCCTTCTAATGGCACAGTACTTTAACAGGGGGAAAATCTGATTTTTTTATTGAAACAAAGAGACAAAAAAATGAGAATTTGTCATCATTTTTCTGCAGTGTGACCCTGCATGACACTCTAGAGACAACATAGCAGTAGGGTAATGGGTGTTTCTCCTGCTCCAAAGAGCCCATGCCAACATCCAACTAACTTTTGTTGTTTTTAAACTAGCCATCCCAAGTCTTGCATATTTGACAATAGTGAGATACTTTTGATCTGTTTGTTTTTTCTTTAGCTTCTGTACCCTTTTATAATAAGAGTGTAGTTTTTCAAATTCAAATTTTGGGGCCTTCTCTTCATTAAATTGAAACTTCAAGTTCTGCATGTCCTTTCTCTCAGTGGCCTTTGAACATCTGTTATAGTGTCATTGTTCCTTACACTGGTGGCCCTTAGGTTACTGTTGTGCCTACTGGCTCTGCCATGTACTTATGTGGTACCTGTCAGCCAATAGCTCACTGGGATCAGAGACAGATCTGCTGGCAAGCCCAGGGCTCCTGAGTCCCTTGCCGGCAATCTAACAGCATCATCTTAACCTTAGGGTAACAGTTTCATCAAACGGTCCAAAGAGTTCACCAGGCTGCTCCATCCACATGCAGTGGGTACCAGCTGTCAGTTGGTGCTGACCCAATTGCTGCTGTGGGCTGGCACCTCAAGAGGCTGGCTGTGAAGAGGCTCTGATGCCCAGCCTGATGCCTGAGGACCCACTGGGCTTGGGGCAGGTTTTAGCCTTCAAAGGACTTCCCAGCTGCCCAGAAGGTCCTGTGCCATTTAAGTGTGTAGGAGTGCAATTCAGCAAAGGTACATTATTAAGCTGAGGAGTTCCCACTTTCGATTTCAAAGTGAGCTTCCCAGTCCTGAAGTTCCCCATATCTGCTTGACAAGCCAGAGTTCTATTGGACAGGAAATAGAACGCTTAAAATGGCCGACAGTAACAGGACCAGGTGCTGGCCCCGCTCACTGTTTTTCAACATGGCTCATTGCTGGGTTGGCTGGTGTGTGCACCCTGCTTCCCTCGAGAAGCCATGTCGTTAGTCATAATGAGGCCACTGGGATTTGATAGATGTTCTGGGCTCTGTGTTTGATGATTTGTAAAGAGAGAAACTTGTCTGGTGCTGGCTCTTCTACTGACTTCCTTCTGTGCCACCCTTGACATCTTCAAGCTTCAGTCATTAACTCCTCTTTCTTTCTAGGTTAGAATTTTTACATCCAAACTGCAGTACAACAGATTTTAATAATGATCTCAGGCTAGTTCAAAACTATAATGAGAAGCCAAAACTGGTATCTTAATTGGATCAGCAGCACCCATCGTGGTGGCTACAATTTATCTTAGCCTCTACCATCAAATACAGGAGTGGAATCTTGATTGCTTTAATTCTAGATGAAAAAAAAAGCCTTTTAGAAGATACCATATCTGCAGAATATGGTGGAGCCCTGGCTGTCTGGACCCCTAAGTATTATAGCTTGCCTCCCTACTGCCCAGGATGAGGGCAAGCCATGTGGCCTTTTGGGGAAGGCTATCTGTTTCCCCATGTCTAAAACAGGGACAGCTCCCTCCCCCTCCCACCTGGTATATGGATGGTTGGACCATGAGGAAATGCCCTCTAAGGGAGGGACGTTGCAGATACTCAGGGTGACTTATAATGCATCTATCTATGTGGCAGTCCTGGAGCTGCTTGGTCCACAGTGATCCCCCGGCAGGAGCAGACAGACTCACAGACAAGCTGTCTCCTGTCTCCCTTCTGCTCATCTCAGAGCACACTGGTGAAGCATCCTCCCTCAGACTTCTCTATACCATGATAGCTGGGACTTCAGCAGTGAACTCAGAATGTTCCTCCTGTCTTTGGAATTCTTGAATTATTCTTCTGCTGCAGAAGTGTATAGTCAAGTGTGATGGATGCAGGGAGAGAACTCACCAGGCTTCCCCTAGGGGAGATGGAGGGCACCAGGCTCCTCCTGGTCCTGTTGAGGTACAAGACACTAGCTCACTCTAGAGCAATGAGAGACAAAGACATTCCCCGTACAGGAGAAGCAGGAGTGAAAGCAGGCCAGATAAGAGCTAGAGGGATGCCCTAAGCATAGACTAGAGGAGGGACCTGACTGAAGAGGAAATAGGGCTGTGTATGGCCTGCCGAGGCTACCTCAGTGGAAGCCATCATCCCCTCTGTTCTTCCCTTCCTGTAGCCCAGGACCAGGGCCTTAGATATTAGACTTGCTAAACTTGAGGACCATGACAAGATGAGTTTGAATACATGGTTAAACTCATAGTATCAGGAGACTAAGAATCAGCTTCCCTTCTTTTTCAAGGGTGTATCTTAATTTATGGAAATCTTCAGTGTGAGTAGCAAACTGTGACTGTACATAGAAAGTCCCCCCTTAAAAAAAACACAAGGAGTAAGAAAAACAGCTAAGTTGAGAATTGTTAACTTTGAGATCTGAGCTCTCTAGTTTGAATTCTAAGCATAAATACTATTGAGCTGTTCTCCAGAAATCTGTGCCTATGAATGCTGCTCATGGGAGAAACCAGACAAGAAGACCAGACTAGAGTGCTGTCCTTTGTTGATATTTCTAAACTTTTATGCATCATTAACTTGTAGCAATATCCTCGCTGCTGAACAGACTATCAAAATCAGGCTGGACCTTGCCCCCACTCCCGTCTCCTTTTTCTCAAATACATGTTGTGATGTCTTGAAGGACCTGAATTATAGAAAGTTTTTGTTTTGTTTTGTTTTGTTTTCCCCATTTGTCTTTCTTTGCTTTCTTATCTGACATGTAGGCAAGAACAGCGGTGTAGAATGCTGTCCCGAGAGCTTTTGGCTGTTCACGCCTTAACTAACTTCATGTATCCATCGCCTCAACTCCTTGCTCTTTGTTCGTTTTCCTCTGAGTCCAAAGGAACCCTTTGGCCATTTGCAGTTCTGTTCATTCCACCAATCAGGTGTTTCTGCAGTTGCTGTGGAGATGGCTTCCTGCCAGAGCCCTGCCAGCTCAGCAGAGAGCTCAGGCTTGGTCTGGGTTTGGAGGGTTTTTCCTAGGGTGTTCTTTGATACCTGTTTTGAACCCCTTGGAAATTCGGGCCAGACAAATGTTTATTCCTCTGGATGACATGAGAACTGAGTCCAAACCATCTTGGCCTGGAAGATGCTGCTCTGGGTTGGGATGTTGAAGCCTGGCCTTTCATGTTTATGTGTTGGAGCTTCGTGTGTCTTTCATTGGTTGTTGAAGTAACTTTAGGGTGTGTGTGTGTGTGCACGTGTGTGGGTATTTTTAAATCTCAACTCTTCACATCTGTAGCCACTCTGGAGTGTGTCTTAGATCCACACTCTGGAATGATGGTGACACACTCAGTTCAGCTTATTTCTCCCAACACCCCCCACACTTTGTTATTTGTCTTCTAAGCCTTTGTGGAAGTCAGAGGATAATGTTTTGTTCCAATCTGGAGTTTCTCTCAGTCCTCAGTCATCTTCTCCTCACTGTGGCAAGTCTCTAAAATACATTAAAACTTAAGGCCATTGATGTGGTCCAGAAAACCAAAGGGGCTCTCATGCTAAAAATGTCAAACTTTTTTCCTTTAATCTTTCCTGTTTTTTTTTTCTTTTTGGTTTTTTGAGACAGAGTTTCTTGGGGGTAACCCAGGCTGTCCTGCAAATAGTTCTGTAGACCATGCTGGCCTTGAACACACAGAGATCCACCTGCCTCCACCTCCCAAGTGATGGGACGGAAGGTGTGCACCACCACAGCCTGGCCCCCCTCACCTTTCTTACCCAGGGTTCTTCTTGATGCCTCCAATTGTTGTTCCTATTTCTGTTTCTGCAGTTCACATGGTAGCTCCAGTGCCAACACTGACTTTTGAAAGAAATAAAGCTAGAAAGAGAATGAAGGAACAAAGGGACTCAGCCTCCAGGGAGGCTGCTGTGGTGCCAGCTGAGGCATTTGACACGTCCTCCAGTGCAGACTGATTGCTATGGGAACAGAGCTGGAAAGCAGCTGTCCTTTGAAGGCATCCTTTTAAATGGAGCAAGGCAGATCACAGCGCTTCCACGACTCACTTTAGTTTCCATCTCTTTTCTAGATGTTGACTTTGCTCTTATTCTCACCAACAGTGGGATCCCTTTTGATTCTGCCCCCTTTAATAATGACCCAGAAGCTTCACCCTCGCAAAACAAAAATAAAAAATGGATGCAGGGTGTTTAACACTCGCTCCACATACTTACACAGCTAGGAGTAGAGTTCAAGGTGGGATCTTTACTGTGGGCTCTTCCTATTTAGAACTGCTGGATTTCTCTTCCTTGGGTAACAGTCTTCCTCAGCTTTGTACTTTAGGGGGCAGGCCTCTGTGGCCTTAAGTGCAGCCATTATGGTAGCCCATCAAGTGCAACTATAGTTTGTTTTCCCTCATAGGTTTTTTTTTTTTTTTGTGTGTGTGTGTGTGTGTGTGTGTGTGTGTGTGTGTGTGTTTCCCTCATCAATTCATCTTCCTCTGTTAATGGGAACCCTGATGTCATTGGCCCAACTACTCCTTTTCTTTCCTTCAGGCCATTTTCATCAGCTTCCCACAGCAAGTGTTAGTTCCATGTCTTTCCCCTCCCCCCATCTGCCCAGTGCAAGCCAGAGAGCAAAGTCAACTGGTATGCATAACCAGTCTTGATGTCTTCATGCCTGTGTCTTCATGCCTTGTGAGGTGCTGTGTATTGGTTTACTGGTTGAGACGTTCTGCTGGTCAGCATTGGTGATTGTTCCTTGCACAAAGGTAGTTGTAGCATTGAGGTCTGTAAGTTCGCTGTGCATTTTTCATCTTCTTGATTCCCTGGAATTATTACTGTAGTATCTGTTTATCATCATTATTAACCCAATTTGTTGAGAATAATAAATGCAGGGTTTGTGTTTATACAGGTTAGCTGGTGATAGGATTCCTAACACCTACAACTATAGTAGCCATCTGTCCTTCAGCAAAGATGTCATCTTGCTTACATCTAAGAATGGACAAGATTCATTTTAGCAGGGCTAACCTCACTTAGTTGCAACACGTCTTCCTATATGAGAGTACTGGGGAATCCAGAATAGCATGTTTGTGTCCTGGGCCCTGAAATTCACTATTGGAGAGTCCTTCCTTTGTGTTCTTTTAAACTTTTCTTGTTTGAGCATGCACATGTACCTTTGTGTTAGTGTTAGTGTGTGTGTGTGTGAGAGAGAGAGAGAGACAGAGAGACAGAGAGAGAGAGATGCTGCTGCTGCTGCTGCTGATGATGACCTTGAGTATCATTTCTCAGGTGCCTTTTGTTTGAGACAGGGTCTCTCTGGCCTGGAACTTCAAAAAAATGGGCTAAGCTAGCTGTCCAGTGAGTTCCAGGGTCCTCCTTTCCCTGCCTCCCATTTCATCATTGCCGGAGTTACGAGCACATGCCTCCATGCACAACTTTCTACATGGCAGTCAAATTCAGTTCCTCTTGGAAAGCAAGTGCTTTACTGACTGAGCCATGTCCCCAGTCTTTAATGTCTTTTGATTGAATATCTTTAAAAATGCAAGTGTGTTGGACTCAACTGTGTATGAATTAATTCATAAAAAACGTATTGGTGGCTCGCTATATCTACTTTGCTCCAGCAGTACAATCCTTATACTGACAGAAGCTGAGCAATCAGGAAGCATGCATGAAGGCATTCATATCTGTATGTAGTCACCCTCTGTTGAGTGCCTACTGTGTGCTATGCACTACTAGATGATATACTCCCTAGCCACAGGAGGCTCACAGTCTGTTTTGAGAGACAGATATGTCAACACAATAGGAAAGGCAGAGTTCAGGGACAGAGTCTACTGAGATTAATTGCTAATGGTATATAAAACCTTGTATGCCTGAAGGCCTAACAGGATCATGAGTTCAGAGCAGCCTTAGTTTGAGGTCAGCCTGAGCTACATGAGACCCTGACTCCAAAAACCAACAGAACAGTCACTAATGTTATGGTTATGACTCAGGCTGGGTTTTGAATGGTGAGCCGAGTCCTCTAGCAGGAGAGGTGGGAGCTGGCTCCTGTCCAGCTGAGTTATCTGGGTACTTTCTGTCCCTTGGCAGAACGTCCAGCACTTTCATCAGCTAGGGGTTGAGGTTCTCTCTGAGGTCACTGGAACCTCATCACAGGGTTGTAGGTTCTCTCCTAAGGCCATTAGAAAGTAGTCTCTGCCCAGAGCCTGAGGTCCTGCCATAAGCCCTCTGGGGTCACTTCCTTTAAGAAGTTCAGAGAAGGAAAAGGAGACCTGAAGGGTATTTCAGATCCCTGATGTTGGTCTTGATGGTCCTGCACTTGGACAGGTTCTTACTGCAGATGTGGAATCCTTGTGGAAGTATTAAAGCTGGAGTAGCCATCCAGAATGGCCACCCTATAGCACCTAAGCCTAAATCCACCATGGAATAGCCATGAATGTAGCCCAACACAAAACCTGAAAACCATTAACACATCAGGAAACACAGGTCTTTGTTTATAACTCAGTTGCATAGTTCCAGAGCATAGGTTTGGAGATGACAACATCTATCACAGTGTCAAATGTTGGACATGCCCGATAGATAGATACTTGAGTTGTTTTCAGATAGAGTCTCATTGGTAGCTTAGGCTGTCCTTAAACTGATAAGTCTCCTGTTTCAGCATCCCCAATGCTGGGGAATAATTCAATCACTTGAGGATAATTATCTTGATTTGTACTTCTTTCTTATGTTGTTGCATCATTTGATTTCTTAACTCTGAACTTTCTATGGTTAAAAGTGAAGATTCTGGATCCAGGCAACTTCTGTTCAGCTCCTGGCATAGCCACAAATTATTTATCATCTTTCTGCCTCAGTTTTCCAAGGTATAATGGGGATAACTCTAGTGTTTAGTCCATGGAAGATCAAAGATTTTCCCTGAGTTTGCCTTGTCAAGTACTAAGAACATGGTGAATAGTGGCTATTCAGTGACAGTGACTGTTTCCAGTCCACTTACCTTAGAACACCTGGCTGAGATGATGGAAACTACAATATTATAGCAGACCTGTCTCACCATCAAGGCAATCAGAATCAAGCAATGGATTGAAACAATCACTGGGGGCCACCTATAAGCCAATAGGTTATGTACAAGCCACTGGGAATAGAAAATCGAGTCCTTAACAAGCTGTACCTACGGAACAAACTAGATAATTGCACCTTAACATGACGGGGACAGTGTTGTGCTAAACTGGTTTCACTTTACTTCACTTGGATCATGTAAACTAGCATGATTGGGCCTCGGGGCCTTACTATAGAGTTGGTACTTTTAGGAAAAAGTTTCTCAAAGGGAGCCCGAAATGTGAAAGAATCTATCTGCTTTAACCTATGAAAGAAACATAAATATTCCCCTGTGAATCTGCAATGTGTGAAGGAGCAGGTGCTCCTCAAAACCATTAAGGTTGAGAATCAGCTGTTTGTTGCAGAACCCCCTCAAAAGTGCTCACCCGTAGCCCAGAGGTGAGGAGATGGTTCAGTTGGTAAAGTACTTGCCAGACAAACATGAGAACCCAAGTTGAGTTCCCTAGCACCTATGTAAGAAGCCGGGTGTGACATGACATGGTCTAGGAAGGCAGAGACAGGAAGGGTGATTCACTAAAGCTGGCTGGCCAGTCAGTCTAGGCTCAGTGAGAGACCCTGTCTCACAAGACGAGGCGGTAAGTAACTGGTCTCACAGTGTCTTAATGGGCACCTGGATCATATGTTTCTGTTTCCTGCATGGTAACAAAATGCCTATTGATGTACAGCTGCCTATTAGTGGTGAGAGGCACCTTAGCAAGATGGGTAATGGCTGGATTAAGTTAACCCAGAGAGAAAATTTATTCCAGCAGGCGTTATTTTCTTGCAGAAAGGATGAGTTGTAACAAGCTCCCTGTTTGTGTGTCCTGTGTGTTAGGTTTGGAGGAGACCAGCCTGTCTACATCAACATCATTAGAGACCCCGTCAGTAGGTTTCTATCTAACTATTTTTTCCGTCGCTTTGGAGACTGGAGAGGGGAACAGAATCACATGATCCGCACCCCTAGCATGAGGCAGGAGGAGCGCTACCTGGTAAGTTCTGTTGTGTGGCCAAGGTGGCTCTCCGCTGCCTTGGAGTGGAGAGTCCAGGTTGGGAGCTCCACACAGTGAAAACCTTTGTGGGTGAGAACTTGTTCCAGATGACCCAGAGCACCTCAAATGATTCCAGATTTGCTTTGCTCAGTTTGTCTTTATTGCTGAGTTTTAGGACATTCCTTGGGAGTCCTGACCTGCCACTCCCATCGTTAAGAACAGATGTGTTTGGGGAATCTCTCTTGGAGGTTCACAAAATGTGTTCTCATTCTTTGTCCTATTCAGTTCCCATGGCAACCTCTTGAGGGAGTGGATTTTCACATGAGGATCTGAAGATTCTTAAAGGACCTAGAAGTACCTTTTCCCTAAGGGTGCACCTCTCAGTTGCTGGTCTGATGGCCAGCTGATTGCCTTCTGGCTCTCAGATTTTGAGTGTGTACATCATGTCACTGAATCAAAGTCCTGCTCCCCCACCCACCCTGTGCTGACAGTGACTGTTGGCAGTGCTGCACTTGACTTTCCTGAATCTCCATAGAGGATACTATTGTTGGCCTCTAGTTGCTTTGAATTTTTAAAAAAAAAAAAAAAAAAAAAAAAAAAAAAAACAGCACAGGAACTACTCACAAAAATGGGAGGCGGGGCTCTGTGCCACTCTGTACTCCAGCCTTCGATGCACCAGAACAAAGGGCACGTTTCTCATCTCTTGGTGACATAGTGACAAAAGCTTACTGAGGAGCTATGAGCCCCATGCTTATGAGGCAGAGATCATGACCTCTGTGTGTGAGAGCCTGGTGAGTTTCCCAGGTTTCGTGTGTTGTTCGCCGTGGGCAGGGCTGGAAGTGCTGGGGTCTTAATGCAGATATGTTCCCAGTGCTGGAGTGGAGTATACATGGCACCTGTGTCTACTACTGGTCCTCATCACCAGCCTTGTCACCAAGAGAAGTTAGTCATTAGAGTCATCACAATACCCACACCCCCTTTGATTCTTAAAAAACTCAGTATGTTTGGTGCTGAGGCTTTTTTTTTTTTTTTTTGGAGGTCACCATGGTATCACTTTCATGTCTTAAGATCTGTACAAGAGATACAAAGGAAAGGCTAAACATCTCATTCAGTCATGTCCATCCAGGTGGTAGGTGAGCTCAGACCAGTCTCAAAGCTGCCACTCCCCATGAGTGCAGGCTGAACATCCTTATATGAAAATCTCAAGTGCCCTCAAGTCACTCTGACCATCAACATACTATACCCCGACCTGACATGACATGTTCATCAAAAATGTATGTGCACTGTAGACACTGAATAAAGTGAGTTTCAGGCTATTGTCTATGCAATGTGCAATTTTTAAAAACTTGTAAGCATTTCAATGTTTCTTCATTTACCTGAAGCTTACATTATTTTTTAATTTTTTGTTGTTGTTTTAGTTTATGGTATCAAATGCCCTAATCTTTGTCTTTACATTACCAGTTAGGAGTATGGCTACTGATATATAATTGATTCAGTGACATGATGTACACACTCAAAATACAGTCTCCCTTCCCATAGGAATAATGTTTTCTAATTATCTTTGTTATTTGTATTGACTCTTACAATAGGCTTATGTTCTTTTTAAAGGGCACATTCTACTTAATTAAAAATATATTTCAAAGATCTGACCTAGTCTTAATACTAAGAAAATGCTGAGAAGCCAAAGATGTGGCAGTGAATCTTGTTTGTTTTCTATTGAAAATAGATTTTTCTCTCATACAGTATATCTCAACAGTTTCCCCTCCCTCCACTTCTCCCAGCTCTGCCCCCACCCTCTCCTCTCTCCCAGATCCACTCTCCCTCTGTTTTGCTTCAGAAAGGAGCAGACCTCCAACAGACAACAACTGAACATGACAAAACGAGACACCATAAGATGAACAAATCCCCTCATACATATCATATCAAGGCTGGACAACCCAATAGGAGGAAAAGAGTCCCAACAGCAAGCAAAAGAATCACAAAAAGACACATCCAGTCAGACAATTGCTAGTTCCACACACAAAAAAACAAAACAAAACAAAACAAAACAAAAAAACAAAACTAAAAGCCATAGCATATGTGCAGAGGACCTGGTACCCATGTAGGCATTCCACTTCAGTCTGTGAGGCCACAGGAGCCTACTTAGTCAATTCAGTGGGTCATGTATTGTATTCCCTCCCCTCTAACTCCCACAGTCTTTCCTCCTTCTCTTCCATAGAGTTTCCCCAAGCTCTGAGGGGAGGGACCCAGTAAAGACCTCCAATTTAGAATGTCTCTGCATAGCGCCTGACTATAGGTCTCTGTACCCACTCCCATCTGCTGCTGGAGGAAGCCTCTCTGAAGATGACTCAACAAGGCACCAATCTATTAGGAATTGTTTTGTTGATTTGTTTCCCGGTTGTGTTTGGTTCTACCCTAGGTCTCTGAGCTACCCAGTCTCCCCAGTTCCCCGCCATCCAGGCAGTGTAGGTCATGGGCTCCCTCTCATGAAGTGGACCTCAAGTTAAACTCAGACGTTGATTGGCCACTTAAACAAGTTCTGCACTACCATTGCCCCTGTACCATTTTGCAGGCAGGATGGATTTTAGGTCAAAAGTTTTGTGGATACTGGGTTGGCTTCTGGGTTTCTCTTTCCATAGCCTGCAGAGTACCTTTGCACACCAAAGAGACTAGAAGGTCGGGCACCAGCCCAATCTCTCTGTGTTCAGTGAGCTGTGTGGATATTGTCCTCTGCAACCGGGTCCCCCTGTCAATCTTTGGAGAACAACTCTATTCTAGCATCAACCTGAGTTGTTTGGGGATCCCCATGGGTGGACATGAATCTTCTAAGTTCTGTCTTTCAAACACTATATGGGAGTTGAAGGGAAATCACCTGGATTCTTCTACTCTGTAGAACTTTAGTGCCATCCCGTAGGACAGTGGTTCTCAACCTTCCTAAAGCTTCGACCTTTTAATACAGTTCTCCATGTTGTGCTGAACCTTCCCCCACCACCAATCATAAAATTACTTCATTGCGACTTCATAACTGTAATTTTGCTATGGTTATGAATCATAATGTAAGTATCTGATATGCGGGTTATCTTACATATAACCCCTATGAAAGGGTCTTTTGACCCCTAAAGGGGTCACGACCCACAGGTTGAGAACCACTGCTGTAGAGCACTCCATGTGTCACAATCTTTGTAAGTTTGTCCAAGTAACACTTTACAGTCTTGAAGGAGAAATTGCAAACCGAGAGCACGGTGTAGTGGGTTTTCTCTCACCTTTTGTTGTTTTCAGTGCTGAGAATAGAATCCAGAGCTTCACACGTGCAAGGCAAGTGCTCTATCACCAAGCTGCCTCCCCAGCCCTGGATGATTTTTTAAAGCCCCCAGTGTTGAAAGTTGCCCTGGTAAATGCCTGGCTGGATTCTGACTTGAGGAGTTCTAGGGACAAACCCTGATGGAATTCTATCTCAGTGACTTGACAGCGCCCCCTTTTCCAGAAATGAACACTGTGCCCTGGACATGATTGTTGCAGCTGAGCTCACAATATTGTATCTTAGCAAGGTTCCCCAGTGTGGCAGAGGGAAACCTGGGGGTCACAGGGAGGGGGTGAGAGGAGAGCCTGGGTGATCCCATCTGCCCTGGCTTGACCCTGGTCAAGGCTGTTTTCTTCTTCAGAAAATAGTTTGTTTATTTAGAAGATGGTCTATTGCCTTTTCTTTTTTAATAGCTGAAGCTTTTTTTTTTTCCATCTCCATAGTCCCATGACATAAAATTGTCCCAGTCAGACCCGTCTTCAATTTGGCAAGCCTGGATTGTCAGTTGTGTGAATCAAAAAAGGGTATTGTTTGCTCTCAGTGTCTCCTCAGCAAAACCAAAAGGGTGCCACCTCGGCTGAACTAAGCAGGTCGCCCCCGGGAGACTGTGCACCAGGACACTCCCTGAATGTCACATACCCACAGACTCAGTGCTGGCCTGAATCGGGACGCTATTACAGAGCTCAGTGCCCTGAAGCCTCTCACTTTATCCAGTTGCCAAAAATCTCAGTGTGCTCTTGGCCCAGAGTCCGGTGGAGCTTCTTAGCATACAGCTGAGAAGGCTTCTAGCTGATGGGCCAAAGAGGGGTGGTGCCTTGCTGTAGTGGGTGGCTTGGAAAAAGATGGAAAGGGACTCTGTGTGCCTTGTGGAGGTGATGAGGTCACTTCCTCTTTACACAGGTGTGGGACTGGCAGCGTGGGATGGGGACTGAAAAGAGTACAAGCCTCTCAAGTCCTGCAGTGTGACAAACACCCCTCAGACCTTACATTTTACCTTCTGAATATAAAGTAAAAGAGGATCCAGCCAAGTGCTGCGTTTTCTGGGCAGAACCATTTCCTGTCGTCTCACCTGCTGTAATGTCATCTGCACAGAGACATAACCACTAAAACCATCTGCTTGAGATGGGGCTGTATCTCTGTTGGCAGAGTGCTTGCCTCATATGCATGAAGCCACAGGATTGATCCCTAGCATTCCATAAACTCACACCAGCAGCTGGGAGGCAGAAGTGTGAAGTTCAAGGTCATCCTCAGCTATATATAGTTTGAAGCCAGCCTGGGATACATCAGGCCTTATCTCAAAACAGGAGTAGGCATTTGTTTTCAAATACTCAAGCATTCTGGTTCTTTTATGATTTCTAGAAACATGTAGTTTTTGTCAACCTTGCTGTTTCTTTCCAAAACATTCTTTATTGGCGTTTACCAGAGAGTAATGTTTGGATAAATTAATGACACACAGGTGATTGACAGTGTCACCCTGAGGAAAGGCAGTGGTCATGGCCACAGGCTTGATTATATTTGTCTCCTCAGTCCCACAGAGTGAGGCTGGCAGGGGCATACCAGGAACCCAGACCCTCTATAATGAGAGCATGAATTAGAATCAAGTGAGGGTTTCTGAACAGAAAGCAAGAAACAGGGCTATGCTGGCTAATCTGTGTCAACTTGACACAGGCTAGAGTCATCTGAGAGGAGGGAGCTTCAA